GCAGCGCTACGACAGCTTCCGCGGCAGAGTGGACGCCGGCGGCTGGCGCGCGACGCACTGCGACCTGCGGCGGCGCTTTATCGAACCGTTCGGCGCCGAAGTCTTCCTGCACACGTGGGCCGGCGCCGAGGCGGCGGCCGTCGTGCGCGCCTACGCGCCCGTCGCCGCCGTCGTCGAGCTGCAACGCAACTTCAGCGGCTATTACAAAAGCCTCGTTGCCGTCGACCCCTGCGACGCGGCGCTGGTGTCGACGGGCCAGCGCTGCCCCGTGACGCTCCAGAACAAGTTCTCTATGTTCTGGTCCCTCCGCGAGGCCGCGCGCGTCATGGCCGAGCACGAAGACGCGCGGGGGAAGCGGTACGCGTTCGTGCTGAACACGCGCTTCGACGTCCGCTTCCGCGGCGCGCCGCTCTTTCTCGACCGCGCGGCGCTCGCGCCCGGCGGGTTCTACGGCGTCGTGCACCCGGCGACGCCGGGCGTGCACCCGCGCGAGTTCGTCGACGACAAGCTCTTCGGCGCGGGTTCCGAGGCCGCGCGCGCCGCGGGCGGCGTCTTCGACCTGCTGCCGGACCTCGCCGTCGCCGGCGCGGCGCCCTTCGAATTCTCGAACCACTTGAACCTCGAGCGCGGCGTTCTACGGTTGCTCGGCGACGACGCGGGCCGCCGCCTCTGCGACGCGCTGCGCGAGGGCGGCGACGTGTGCGCCCTCGGCAGCGTCTCCGAGCTCTACCGCGACGGCGACGGCGGCGGCGTCCGAGAGTCTGCGCAACCGTATAACTGTAAAGAATCTAAGTCCCGTATATTAAGTGCCAGTGAGCTGTTGCACTGGTGCTCAAAACCCCATGATCCGTATGCCCCTTTCCAAGGGCATTTAATTCCGCTACTTCGCCCCGCAGTTGCACTGGCAAGCCTGCCGGTGTGCTCCTTGGACACGTGTAGAAGAAATGGCGTATAGAGGACGGTGAGTTACTTTACCGTGGCGACGTTGATCTCAGGTACGTCCCCAAGAGCTTGCGTAAGAGAGTAGTACCTGGCGTACCTGGTTTAGGCTGCCAACTATCCAGCAGGTGCACTGTCCGGCGACTGTGCAGTTAGCTCGTACCCAACAGTAGTGCAACCTCGCTGAGCCTGGTGCTATCTGGCACGTCGCTGTGACGCTAACCAGACAGACACCACAGACAGCGCTGCGCTCTCTATGCTTGCTTGGCAGTCACTCCTTCAGTTCGCTGTCTATAAGACTTGAAACTGGATTGGAATGAATTAAGGAAGGGAAGGGAAAACTAGCAGGATACGCGGTAGGAGCGCAGTGGGGATAAGGTGCACTGCAACATCAAGATGCAGTTCACTGAAGATGAAGGTAGAAATCTCTCTATCTCTCTACTCAGCCACATTTGAAAGCGCGATATTATTAGGGGTACAATAGTAGACTAACTTACTAACTGTTAAGCCAAAAGTTGAATGTGGCGTAATGATCATTAGTCCGGCTAAATAGCCTAAATCACGAGAGTTAAATGTACTAACCCATTAAATCTGGCGGCCAGCGTAAAAACTCTCTCTCTCCCAGTGTCTAAATCAGCCCGATTTAAGGAGCCTGTCGGCAGGACAATTAAGCCGGCGGCTGGCAGCGTTGGTGCCGTGCTCGGCGCCCCGCTCGGTCTGTGGACCATGTCGCCTCTCGGGCCCCGCAGCGAATCGCTCCGGAAAGGCCATCGGTCGAAGGTGACCAACTTTGTTCGCGTCGGGGCAGCCCGTGGATGACGAGAACGGCCGTAAACGGCGAGCGACCGATGGGGGGCCAACTTCGCGCTGGGGTTCGAGCTGGCGGCGCGAGTGCGAGGCCACACCCCCTCGATTGACCTTCTCGAGCGGCTCGCGAAGGACCGCGCCGCCAGCCTGAAACATACATTGCGCGGTGAGCACCGTGTCGCCCGCGGCGCCGCGCGCCTCCCGGAGGCGGTGAGGTGATCTCGATCAAATCGGCTCGAGTCGAAGAGCTGCCGCGAGGGCATCTGGTCGCCCCCATGACGAACGATTCCCGACGCTCTGTGGCTCGAAGGCGACCGAAACTCGGTCGGGGGGCAGCTGCCGCGCACCATTCCACCCCCTGACGCTGCACGTTTGCGTCGCCTCGCAATCGTCTGGATGCCGCGTCTTCGCAGGTGCCTCGTCCACATGTTTGCGGACCTCAAAGCCACTGGGATCGTTGCACGTCGCTGCATATTTGCGGAGCGCGGGGCGCTCTAAGATGGACATTCCATCGGCTTCCGCCAAATAGTGGCACGAGCGTTGCCCTGCAGATAGGCCGCAGGGCGACATTGAAGCGGCGTAAATGGATACAGATTTAACTCTGCGGGTTTTGCCGGCGAGTGGCTCGCTATCCGGTTTGATGGTCGAGCTCGGCTTAAAAATATTTAACTTTTGGCTTTACGGCTGTAATTACGATGAGGAATCCGCGCAAAGGGCAGCCGCTCTGGCAGACCTAGCTGCAGGGTAATGCCAGGGAGGTGTTACATATCCCGCCGCTTCAACCTCGGACCTCAACACAGCTGCTTGCCCTGTCACGGTGCCAGAATTGAAAGAGATGTGTAAAGAGAATGGTATTACGGGCTATAGCAAACTTAATAGGAACGCATTGATAGCTAAACTCTTCAGTGAACTCTGAGCCAGGTAGCACCAGGCTCAGCGAGGTTGCACAGTCGTCGGACAGTGCACCTGCTGGATAGCAGCTTGACTGACGTCATAGCGACGTTAGGAAGCTAGTAAACTATCCTAACTTTCTACACGTGGACATATATTACCTATCTTTTTTTTTGATACGGAACGCAGTGGAGTAGATTTTTTCTGCCACAGTGCGCCCGCGGAGATTCGCATTAAACACTGCCCGGGGTCGTAATCTTGCTAACACTATGGAACCCGACGGCCAGCCCCTAATCCAACTATATCATTTTGATATCTTAATCATTCCTCAACATCAGCGTCCGGGCCACAGCAATCTCAGTTAATCGAGCCATGTCAAAACTCAGCAATCTCATATAATCGAGCTATGGACGATCCCTGGGGTGGGCCCTAACCAGGCTCATGATCACTTCAACTGCTCCATATGCAACAAAATAGTAGAATTTTGAGTTCATCTGTGTGGCGCTAGCAATGGCTTGCTACAGTTGGTTCGGCAACCCGCTGAATACCGGTTCTGGCATCAAATGTAATCAGGCGATTCAGACTTCACTGCGATGGCAGTGTGATCGCGATTATGCTTCCACGATTGCGTGCGACAAGTCGAATGTGAACGAACCTTTTGGTTACTTCTTTACTTCGACGACATTCCGCAAAGAGGCTCGAAAGAAAAGCAAAATTTTATTTTATGACTCTCTGACAGGAAGATTTTTATTCGAAGCACCGAATGGTCGCACCATGGGTGAGTTTTTGGATGAAAGTACAAGAACTGGGTGGTTAGTATTTTATGAGGAAGACGTCTTCCAAAAAAACGTACGTGTTGTGTCTGCTGGTGTTTACAAGGGATTGATTGTGTCCGTCGACGGCACGAAACTAGGTGTAATTCAACCGATCGGTAAACGATTGCGATATGTAGTGAATATCATGAGTATTGCTGGGAACTCTGTTGGAAATCACACTGGCATCGTTCGAAGAACCCCCGAAAGTTGGTGCTCTAATTTCCAGAGTGTGTACTTTGGAGGAGATTGTCCATTACTGATACAACAAGACTTCATCGGTGTTGAACAGTCTCCTCCTTTCTCACGCAGTATAGATTCCGTGACTGCGAGAGTTGGCTACGCCGCTGGATGGTCACTGCCAAAAGAAATGACCATATGTCATTATGGTGGACCAATGGGGAGCTACTACGTCGATCACGGCTTTACACAGGTGGTCGAAGTCCTTGTGGACATAAAAAGTGCTGCTGGCGGTGAGCAGTTTAGAGCTCTAATTGATGCTTACTTCGAGCACCTGGTACCGCGCGAGATGGCGGTGGGATCCAGGCGCAATACCATAGGAGTACCTGGAGGGATACATGGCTCTTACAAAGAGATCCTTTACTCAGCAAATACAACACGCACGCCTCTTCTTCCAGCTGCTGACGACTTGCTACTCCAGGGTGGTGGTGACTTGCGAGTCCTTCAAGACGGCGTTATCTACGTGTACAATTCAAATGAGTTTCCGTTTTTCATTGGCGAGCGATTCAGTCAGTGGCATGGAAACTCTACGCAGATTAGGGCGGAACCAGTATGCGGTGATCCAGGTGCTACCGGGGGCTCTAATCTTGGTGAATGTGGAGCCCTACCTCGTTTGGATACGCCCGTGGAAATACAGATCGATAATGCCAGCATCTATACTTTTTCACCATCCAATCTAAATGTATCTGCTGTGGATGACGTTCCTGAAGACATGACGTCGAGCGTATCCCATGAAGGGAACTCTAACTTCTCCCCTTTCTTGGCTTTGTTTGTGCTTGGGTTGGCGCTCTTGTTTGTGGGAATTACTCTCGCAGCCTACCGTCGCGTGCGCAAAAAGTTAATCTCGAGGTTTGAATTAAATGGCGCTTCAGCACTTTCTGATACGGCTGCGCACGTGACGGACCACCCCGACCACACTGAATTCGACACTATAAACTGCCATGTACCATGATCATTGCCTGAAGAAAGTCCCGAACGGAGGCATGAAGTGAACCCGGTCAAGGAGCATCTCTCCTGGGTCAGCATGATCAAACTTTTGAAGGATGATGAGAATTATGATGATGGTGAGGGCTTGGGGTTAGTGTTAGAGTTTAGGGTTCCTAAAACCGCCGTTCTCCCCCGACCACGCGGCGGGATATTAAAAATACCTATTCCGCGTATCCTCGTACAAAGGCAAAGCACCATGTCTGATAGACAGCGGTGCAGAAACTAGTGCAATGAAAAGTTCAGTTTTCATGACAGCATGTGCCCACGCGTCTATCGGAAAACCAGTTGCACAGTCGCCGGACAGTGCACCTGCTGGATAGTAGCCTGACTGACGTCATAGCGACGTTAGGAAGCTAGTAAACTATCCTAACTTTCTACACAAGTAGGCGACTAAGCCAACATATATCCACTGCACTGTGAACCTAAAGCTAAGTAGGGGAAGTATACCTTGATGGGCAATTCCCGCTACATCCTCATCGCTAACGCTGAGCATAAAGTAGCTTTCTAGTCAATCAAGATAATAATTTGGCATAAAGGGTAAGTTGAGTGAGCCTCAAGGCCCACCCCACTACCCTAGTTTACTAGCTAAACTCCCTCTCTCTAAAATAGGTTCGGCTGGCCACGGGGAGAAAGAATTTCGCCGGCGGGCTGCTTCAGCAGCGCCGGCCAGATAAGAGCATAAGGAGCGAGTATCGACTGAGCTGCAATAATAAATAACAGCTCATTCTCTCTCTCTCCTCTGGGCGCTACTTTCCTGGCTAATCGAAGATTACCTGTACAAAGTAGCTTTCTAGTCAATCAAGATAATAATTTGGCATAAAGGGTAAGTTGAGTGAGCCTCAAGGCCCACCCACACGAAGTCCCCGAAAGGATCAATCGACGTACCTCTGACCTCGTCCTCCTGTGAGAACTTGGTCAGTCCATGGCGCATCACCCGGGTCCAGTGGATAAGCATCTAGACACGCGGGTGACAGCCGGTCTGGAGAAGGGAAGCTCGACTGGCCATAGTAACCAGCCCCGCCCTCGAGTGCCAACAATGTGGCCACCTCCAGTTCTTTCTAGGTGTCTCCTGACCAACACTGTGGTAGGTTCCAAGAAAGAAGTAGCTGCAATCGCGACTGGCGCCACACTGGGCGCCGTCCGGGTGCAGACAAAGAAAAGAGGATAACGGATCACTGAGAGTCACCGTGCAATCTTCCAACACTGTGGAAGCCCGGTACCCTAACCGCTCCCGCGCCAGCTTCCGCTAATGGGAAGCGCGGCGAATCTCGAGGCCAACGCTGTG